CATCTTTTTTTTTTTTTTTTTTTTAAAGTATATCCTTTAGCAGAAGCATCTACCCTTGATTCTCTGCTTGCCAGAGGGTCAAATTCACAGACAGTTTAAGCTTAAAACAAACAGTAACAAAGCTGAACATTGCCCGTTCAATGATGAACACACAGACATCCAGAAGCTTAATACTGTATTTTATCAGCAGGTGGCTTTCCTGTCACACTTGTGTGGGAACTTTCATTCCCAGCTAAGGCATTGGGAGGAAACACATTAAGCCTGGAAGAGATTTTCCTGGGTAGTCATTATACCCTGCTGGTATAGAGGACTCTGGGGCATCTGGTGGCTGTCTGGGGAGGGCTCTGTGTGCTGGTAGAGCTGCAGGAGACTCAGCACTGGCTAAGGTAAGAGAAGGTTCTAACTCTGGTACCAAAAGCAGAAATGGAAGGAATGTGTACTTATTTAGAAAAAGATTGATTGAAATTTGTATCTTGTTATTAAATTTTACTGTGGCATATTAACTATTCTTTTTAAAAAATAGACCTAGAAGTACAGACAATGAAATCAGATTTAAGCATTGAGAATAATGTCCCATGCACTATGCTTTAAGGGTTCTATGTGCCAGGCATGGTGGTATACACCTATAGTTCCTGAAATCAGAAGGTTGAAGCAGGAAGATCGTGAGATCAAGGACAGCCTGTATTATACAGTGAGATCTTGTCTCAAAAGAAAAAAAAAAGTCAGTGTGGTCAATTAGATCAGTTAGTATGAAAATTGGCCACTCTACAGAATCACTGTAATACATTTCCATGTAACCAAGCAACTACAGAGATAATGCTGAACTGGCTGCAGAAAGGAGTCTCTATTCCAAATGCCTCATACATTGGGATTATAGGGTTGAGGTAGGGGTCATCGGTAGTATGTGCTCGGCATGTACAAGGTCCTGAGTTCACTACCCATCCAGTATCCTTTTCCAGCTGTAAAACGTAAAAGGTCTTGGATTGCCTTTAGTATGGTGGCAAGATGGAGGGACGTGATGCGTGGTAGGCGCTCAGCACAGTGGTTGGCACAGAGATAACCCACTGTTATTGTTTATTGTTTACTGAAAATGCTAAGAATTATGGAAAGCAGGCTCTCCTCGCTGATTCATCACATTTCAAAAACAGCACAATTCTGAGGCTGTAAGAGGTCAGTGTCTGAGCTGAAGGCATTTGCTGTTTGGGATGTGGTGGTAGGAGCTCAGATGAGCAACTGTTTTTATTATATGTTTGTACGGGCTCCTTTACAGAGTTTCCAATAAAGCCCAGGATGCTGGCACACACCTGAAACCCTGGCATTCACAAGCCTTAGACAAAAGCTGGTTCCAGGCCAGCCAGGGCCCCTAGAGCCAGAATTCAAGAAAAAAAATTCAAAGACTCCAAAAGAGTTTTGCTTAGATTTAAAAACTATCCACCCCCAACTCCACAAAATGCTGGTGAGGAGACAGGAAAAGGGGGGGGGTGTATCTCAGTGGTAGAGCACTCGCCTTATGTGAACAAGGCATTGGGCTCCATTTCCATAAACTGAAATTCTTTTAAAAGCCTAGATGCCCAAACCTGAGACAAAAAGGCGTGTGTGTGTGTGTGTGTGTGTGTGTGTGTGTGTGTGTGTGTGTGTGTGTCTTGCTTGATTCCACTCCTCCTCCCCTCCCCCCCACTCCCATCAGCCACACACAGTGGATGGGAAGCCCCCTCCAGTTCTCTTTGACAATAGCGTCTTTGATCAACTGTCAAGGTCTCTTTCCAACAAACTACCTGCTGAACCCCACACCTTGATCCAGAAACAGATTCATTGGGCTTTTTGTCTTCACTACAATTATGGAACAAGCTACCTGTACTTACAAAATTCGTAAGAGTAAGGGTCTCTCTCTTTTTTATTAGTCTCTCTCTCTCTCTCTCTCTCTCTCTCTGTGTGTGTGTGTGTGTGTGTGTGTGTGTGTGTGTGTGTGTGTGTGTGTTCAAGCATTCAAATACCTCTACACTTGTGTGGAGATCAGAGGTCAACTTTTTATGTGGATTGGGGGGATTGAACTTGGTCGTCCCATTTGCATGGCTTAGGCTTTTGCCACCTCCCCAGTCCTCCGGTTTAAAAGAAAATCCCAGTTGCATCAAAACAGAAAGTCTGTGGGGTCTGGGGTAGCAGATGGCACCGTTGTTTCTAGCTGCATCAGATCTCATCAGAGTGGCACCCACCGTGTGTTACTTGGGAGTGGGCTAAGCCAGGGTTTAGTCTGCACCAAACAGATGCTTCGGTCTCCACTACCAGCAGGAAGCAGAGGCCCACAGGGCCATGTGTGGCCTGAGTAGGGCAGGGTCCAGAAAGGCGAGGGATATTAACTAAGGGCCAAGGGCCTGCATGGGACAAAGTGAGAGGTACCAGATGATGAGAACCTGACTAGGCAGGGGACTTGGGTGTGGCAGTTTTTCTGAGTTTTTATCTTCAGGAAACTGATTCTTCTATGAAACTTCTCCCAAGTGCCACACTCCCTACTCTCACTGCATGTCTGCGTCCCTCTTTCAAAAGACTTACAGTAGGACTGCTGGTGACTCAGCTCTCGCACACAGCCCAGAATCCCTAAATGGCAAAGATTTTTTCCCCCTTCCCAAACCTATGTTGGTTATTTGCAACAGCGCCCTCTGGGGGTTCGGGTGAAATGCACAGCTAGCTAAAGAGCCTGGCCCCAAGCCCTGTGTCTGGGCAGTGAGGTGCAAGAGGGAGACGGAATCCTGGCACAAGTCTTGTCTACAGTGACCTGGTTTCCACAGTTTCTGCTTCATGTGTTCAGAATTACAGCCAAGCCTTTTCTCCAGTTCCCAGGTTGGAAGACAGAACGAGTTGAGATGGAGCAAGGCAGAGCTCCGGAGCTCCGTCTTACTTTGACCTACTCAAAGGCTTTCTCCTGGGAGTCACCATTTCCTGCTTGTCTAGGTTGTTAGTGGTGCCCTCGAGGGAAGGGAATGTGGGAAATGAAGGCATGGAATCTCAAACCCAACAAACCAGTTCTTCACTAGCAGGGTTGGGAATGGTCTGTTGAAAGCTGCCATTTTCGTCATCTGTGTACCCCCTTGCCCCCTACCCCCACCCACATGGGAGGATGGAGAGAGAAAGGATGTGCTATTGAGTTGGCCACGTTGCTCACTACCACTAACATTATTATTTCAGGAAGAACACAAGACTCACTTCAGTACTGCTGAGGGGATAATGAGGGGCAGATTGTGTCTTAGGGGAGTAATATTGGTCAGAGAGATGTCCCAGAAAATGTTGACTCTTTTACACTTGCAAACTTACCCAGTGTCAGATGGGTTGCTGCAGCGATCCCAGAGTGCTGTAACGGGGACATAGCGAAGCCCAGAGGTACGGTACAGCTGAGGCAGGACTTCTCTGGTTACACACTCACACATTCGCAAAATTCAGCTGGAAAAATCCCGAAGCCAGCCACTAGGCGTGTCTAAGATAATGCCTAAGAGGTCAACAATTGAGTTTTCTATAAAGCTCTAGACATACTTCTCAGTCCCAAGTTAGAATCTATGGTTCTCCTAGATTGGAGTATCTCTTCCAGCATAACATAATCCTCAAAGTGTAACCTGTGACACATATGCTATAATGATTATAGGTTTTTATAATAATTATAGTTTTGTGGGTTTTGTTTTTATTTCTTGAGACAGGTTTCCCCGTGTAGCCCTGACTATCCTGGAACTCACTCTGTAGATATGTCCATCTCTCCAGAGTGCTGGGATTAAAGGTGTGCACCACCACGCTGGAGTTACATACAATACAGAGATTTATTGTTATGGGTTATGGCACCATCTACTAAGAGACATTCTGAGTCGCTGAAAAAAAAAAAACTGTCTTGAGTCTGTGAAATGGGCGCAGCAAACCAAGGCGTTCTCTTTTCAGGATTTTCACGGTCTTCAGTGCCAAACGGGGCGCGGGGGGCGGGGGGAAGGTGGCGCACAAAAAAAGGTACACAGCCTTTAGAGGTCCTCAAGAAGATCCAGGGACAGAGCTGGCAGGTTTCTTTAAAGCGTCTCCCCCCCCCCCATCGCTCTGGCACTTCCCTCGGGCGTTTCCCTCCCTAGTCAGTCCCTTTCTGTGCAGTCCTTTATGTAATTTATCTAAATATAGCTCCATCACTAACAGAGCCTGGTATCTTCTCAGCCTGTTTCTCATCCTGGAAACAGGTGTCTCGTGGGTAGTGGGGTATGAGGAGAGTCCCCGCCCACCGCATGCCCTACTGTTGAAGCCTTGGGAATTTGCGATATGTTAAAAAACCTCAGGAAACAATATTTATTTATTTATTATTTATTTATTTATTTATTTGTCTTTCGAGACAGGGTTTCTCTGTATTATTTTGGAACCTGCCGTGGAACTAGCTCTGTTGACCAGGCTGGCCTCGAACTCAGAGATCCGCCTGCCTCTGTCTCCCGAGTGCTGAGCCTAAAGGCCTGTGGCACCAACGCCCGGCTAGGAGACAAATTTTAAATGTCATTTAAAAGTCAACCAACTAACCATTTAGCTCCGGTGAGTTTTAAGAACAGCAAACACACGAAAGACCGGAAGGAGTTTTGTCCTTTGCAGGGTTTCTTTACTTCCTGGTGGGGTGGGGACTGAAACCTCTCACCTTCTGTCTCCCTGCTCAAGAGTCCAGAAAGAGATCAGATGGCAGCAGGGATCTGCTGTATCGGGCTTCGATTGGGGTGGACGGGCCAGAACAAGTTTATCTCCGGGGTGCCTAGAGACTAGGGGCATCCTCGGCTGGATCACGGCGAGACCGGGGAAGCAGGACTACGGAGGCTGCGCCCGAGCTCTCCCCGCCTCCGCGCTGTCTGCCGTCCGGCCCCGCCCGGCGCAGCCCTAAGGTACGCACCGGAGTGTGTAAGGCACAACCGGGTGTCAGAGGCTGCAGTTTTAGGGGTCGGGAGTGCCCTGGGAAACAGGGGCAGGACGCCAGCTCTAACCCAGAAGCGCGAGCACCTGCACAGCACCGGGTCCAGAGGAGCGCACCAGCCCAGCCCTCGCCGCGGAGTCCCCCGCCGGGTAGCTTTGGGGTAAGGGGAGGGGTCTGCACGCCAGCGCCGTCTGCTCGGTTTGGGCTGACCCGGCGCGGCTCCTTGGAATGAGGGTGGGGAAGGGACATCGTGTCCTCTAGACAGCCCTGCGGCCGAAGAGGAACCAGAGATGGACCGACTGGTCTCCCTGTGTCGGCCCCCAGTGGTCTGCCCCCGCCACCCTCTTGCCTGCTTCCCGCTTCTTCCGTGTGCGCCTCCAGGAACAAGGTCCTTTATTATCGCAACGGGAGGCCCGGGGTTGATCACGCGGCCTCGTGGCCCCTAGGTGAAACCCTTGGCACGCATCGTTCAATGCCCGCGCAATTTCACAGAGGGGACTGAGAGCCCAGCAATGGAAGGAACTGGCCCAAGGTCACTTCGTGGTTCAAGGCCGAGCCTGGGTAGAAGCCATTCATCTATCCTGGCCTTGGCTGTAGGCCCTGCGCGGTCGCGACCCATCTCCCGACCTCACCCTCGTCCACCCCCCTCCTCCCGTGGCCTCCACTAGGCTCTGTTCTCGAGAGTTTTGGCAGAGCCTCCTCCGTGCCTGCTGCGCTCGGAAAGGATGCTGCACAGCGGTGAGGCGCTGGTCCTGCCGCTTGAGCGCGAGCGGGCCTGGCTTACTGGAGACTGAATGGGCCTCGGTGCTGGGCGAGGAGGAGGTTCAGGCAAGGTGGCGGGATTGCGGGGGTTCGCCTGGGGATGGCAGAGCTGCAGGAGGCCTGGCAGGCCCAGGCCTGAAGCCACCCCAGCTCAGCGTCGGGAGGACAGAGAAGCTTTGTCTAGGTGGGCCGCTCAGCCAATGGGAGCGCAGCTTTGGCCGAGCCCCCGCCTTGGTCCCCGCCCTCTTGCCGTCTGGCGGGGGCCACAGCTCTGGGATTGGCCGTGAGGTCCACAGCGATATCGGGCGTGGTGGGGAGGGAGGGAGGCCCCTGGGCAACTCCACCGTACCCCTTGCTTGCTGGAGGACACTGAGATTGCGTGGGTTCGTGCATCTGGGTGAGGCCCCGACGTCTTTTTCCCTATGCCGGCGCCTGCCCCTTCCAGGAGGAGGCGGCTTAACACCAGTCGCATGTTTTTCCAGCCTGTGAGCCAAAGTTAGCCCATAGTCAGCAGGTGCAGGGTCACTGTTTTGCCCAGAGGTTCCCACTTGGAAGAGCTGCAGAGGCTTCCTCTTGCCAGGACCCTTTGTGACGCAGCAGATGCCTTTCTTTCGACATCAGATTCGTCTTGAAGCACTGGGCATATGCACCCTAGCAGGCTAGGAAGCTGAACGGAGACATTCATGTATCGTTCATGATTTCTAAACAACACATCTATAGAGGAAGCCTAGAAGTCAGTGATTCGCCGTCCTGATCGCGGGGTGTTTACCGTGCCGATGGGAGCGATGGTTAGCTAGGGCTTGTGAGTAGTTATGAACTGAAATATATCCAATATAACCCCACTGGGTGACTGCAATTACAGAAGTCCAGAGGGAGACTGGGGAGAGGGAGAGGCTTGTTTGTTTTGTTTTCCCTGAGAGGAGGGTTGAAGCTAAGGCTTCATGCATGATGGGTGTTTACCACCAAACTATATCTTCAACCTGACTTTTGTTAGTTTGAGATGATGTTCCATTAAGTTCCCTGGGCTGACCTTGGATTTCATATAGCCCAGGAAGGCCTTGACGACCCCCCCCCTCCTCCCAACTTCCTGAATAGCTGGGATTACAGTCACTATTGGGAGACTGATTTTTTGCTATAGGCAATTAGGAAAGGTAACTTGGAGGAGGTGTTTTTGTACCAGTTAGGTGTGAAGTAGGTCCGATTTGTATAGGGTAAGGGGAGGCACAGAAATTAAGAGTGATGGTCTAGCAAATGATTTAGTAAGAGCTGGTAAGAATATAGATGCTGTGGATGCCTACACAGGTGGACTTCAAAACTAGCTCCTCTAAAGTCAGGCCTGGATGGAGGAGGGGCTCAGGGGCCCTATCCCTCACAGCTGAAATATTTACTGTAGATCCGGGGAGAGGGGAAGTCATTGGCTAAAATTGTGTATTTGATGATGATGGACAGTTCCAGTGCAGTGGTCAGTCAGATGGTCCTGGTTAAACTACATGGTTGGAAGAAAGAAGTGACAGAAAAGGACTAGTATATCTCCCAAGTGCTGGGATTAAAGGCATGGGCCACCACACCTGGCTTCAAACCCTCTTAATTCACTCAACTACAGGTCTTGGGTGTGCAGGTCACTGCTATAGGAATCCCCATACTCCAAGGGCTTGCAGTTGAATAAGACTCAAAGATGCAGATAAGATAGAAATGGTGTATAGAAAGTGTAGTGAGTTCCCCAGAAGGAAAGCAAAAAATGGAAGCAAGGGCGGGGACAGAGAAATTGCCAGGCTGGGGGCGGGGTGTTGGAGGGAAGGACTGAGGTGAGAGGGTATCTTATGAAGAGTTTCCAGGCAGAGATGTGACCTTGACACTGCAGTGTGCCAGGAAATGTTCCAGTGACAGCAAGAAGGCCACTGTGACTGAGAAACAGTGAATAGAGATGAGGTTAAAAGGACATTGGGACCAATATCATGTCAGATTCTAGGCAGTCTATATAAATGTGGGCTTGGAATTAGATGCAAGAGTGAGATGATGTGATAAATATTTTGCAGAACTGAAAAACCTGCATGGAGACCTTGCTGGACTGCAAAGATCCTACTTGGGAAGCTGTTGCAATACTCGAGGCAAGGAGGGACGAAGGCTTAGATGACAGTGGACCCTAGCTAGCTTGTGAAGGTGATGTCAGTAAGAGCTGCCAACAGCTGTGCCGCAGAATGTGCAGGAAATCAGAACACAAGCACACTTGGGACAAGTTAAACTTAGCATACCCAATAAAACCTTCAAAGGTGCAGTTGTATACTTAAGGCTGGAATTTGGGGCCAAGGCTGAGCTGGAAGTAAACCTTAGCATGTTGACAGCATGTAGATGATACAGCTATGAAAGCTCACCGTGTGGTAAGAACAGACTGGGCGTAGGGCCCTGGGTTAGCATCAGTAGTTGGTCTTGTCCGTGACAGGCAAGCCCCATTCTCCTGGGCATAGAATGTTCTCTTAGTCTGACTATTGTAGTTATAGTGATTTTGACGTCTCTGGTAACGTTTTCCTTTGGGGAAGCACAGATGAGTGATGGAGCAAGGGAGGCATATGTCACATTGTCATTATAAGGTCAACAGTGATGTACTTAAAGAATTAATGATAGTTTTTCAGCAGAATCCACCTACCCTCAGCTACCCTCAGCAGGTCCTAGGTCTCCAACTCATGGAGGCTGGTTTTCATTCTTTCCTAGGGGTCATCTTCTATCCCCTGGTGAAGCTACAGCTGTGGAGACTGAATCCTATGGGCTGGAGCAAGTGCAAGAAGAGGGGGTTGACAGAATAGACACACTGCAGTGACTACCATTTGGTAATTTGTCCCCTGGGCAGATTGAGATCCAGTGTGTCTCTGCAAAACCGGGCTGTGCAGCTAAATCCTTGGCTTTATTGACACCATTGAGATTTGTTTTAAGTTGTGTCTGCATTTATGCTAGAAGTATGGTGAGAGGGAGAGAGAAAGAGAGAAAGAGAGAAAGAGGGAGAGAGAGGAAGGGAGGGAGGGAGAGAGAGAGAGAGAGAGAGAGAGAGAGAGAGAGAGTGTGTGTGCCATCTGATTTCCTGTGTAATCCTATCAGTCTTCCCATCCAGATTTTCTCTCAAAGGACTAGGCATCTCTTTGAACAAAGGGTTTTACTCTTTTACTTTTTGTTTTTTCTAGACAGGATTTCTTTGTCTAGCCCTGGCTGTCCTGGGATTCTAGCTGTAGACCAGGCTGGCCTCAAACTCATAGGGATCTGCCTCCATCTATCTCCCAAGTGCTAGGATTAAAGGCATACCCCACCACCAGTTTAGAAAACATATTGCCTGCCCCTTTGGCAGACCAAACAAAATTACTAAATAATTAGAAGGAAAATGTCCAGAACATATTTTGTGTCTTTCTTGTTCCAGATCTTGTAACTCAAACTCCATGTAGTGTCCAGGCAAATAAAAATAGCGACATGTGTAGTGTTAAGATAGAACTGGCAAAATGGCTTCAAGCATAGCTCCTCTGCTTCATTATTGCTAACTTTTAATGGAGCTGGGAGTGTGTGTCTCAATGACAGAGCATGTGCATAGCATGTGCAGGGCCATGGGTTCAATATCTAGTACCCCAAATAAAATGAAAGAAAACACAACAAACCACTGGACTGAAGTGAATAATAAAAAGAAAATGTAGGAAAGTTAAAGCTCTAGGGTGGCCCAATTTAGCAGCGGGCTGCCAGTGTCGGACTTGGCTTCTGACAGATGTTTGCTGTCTTGGGTACTTCAATACAGGGTACCTGTAGAGGATGCAGCTCGCCCCTCCTCTGTGGGACAGGGCCTCTATGCTGCAGTGTCAAAGGCCCATCTATACACCCTACCCAGAATATTGAGTCTTTTCCTGCTGAATGCCTACCTTCTGTATTCCTGTCCCTGCAGATGCCCTTTCTCTTCTGAGAATGACTTACCCTGATGGGGTTAGGGGAAGATCTAGCTACTGATCCACTGGAAAGCAGGCGGCTGTGGTGTCTTCTAGATACTCAATTTACAGTGTGACATGGCTAGCCCCAGTAGCCCCGACAAGGATATGTGCATATGTTTCAGAGACTGTTCTTGCTTAGCTGCCCTATCCTAGTGGCCATGTCACAACTCACCACCCCTGGAGGCTGATTTACACTCTTCCTCCTCCTTTTGTGTCTTTGAGACAGTGTTTCTCTGTAGCCTTGGCTGTCCTGGAACTCATTCTGTAGACCATGCTGGCCTCAAACTCAGAGAGAGCTGCCTGCCTCTGTTTCCTGACTGTTGGGATTAAAGGTGCTACCATACTTGACTCTTGATTTGGACTCCTTTGAAACGGGAGGAAAAATGGGTTCATTTTGGGTTTCCCCACAGGTGCATTGACCTCCGAGGGGGTGCTCTTGAGAGGAGACCCAGGTTTTCCTAGCATCTTTATTTTGTGACAGCATCCTATGGATTTGGTCATTCCCAGTCAGACCCTTTTACTGTGGTGCTTGAGTTTCAAGGCCAACGGAACCCCTAGCCCTTAGGAGATCTTCCTTTTTCTGACATCACCTACTTCCTGTAACCATTTCTGTTCCCAAACCTAAGGCAGACTAGAGAGAGAACTTCTGTTCTTTTACAGAGAGTGAAATCCAGCCTGAGGCATTAAGATAGCAACAGCCAAGTGGGAAAAGTCCTTAGGTATAACAGGATACACCGTGTTCCATAGACCTAGTCCAGGCTGGCAGTGTAGCTCATCTACAAAAACACTTGCTTAGTAAGAGGCCCTGCCTTTAGATATAAATGTCTACCGTTCTGCGTATGAGAAATTATATTGTAAATATGCCTAATTCAAAGGCCTGAGTTGATATGTGCTCTAAGCTATTTTGACTATAACACTTCACATTTTGCTGACTCTAAGGGAAACTAAGTTGAAAGCAACCCTCTATTTGGAGACTATATTAAGGCATTTTCTTGTGCAGGCGTTGAGCCAAGGGCTGGGGAAGGTCTTTAATTATAGACTGCTTTTGAAGTCACGCAGGAGCTGGCTTCATTTGTGGTGGGAGGAGGTGGACATGTGTGTGTTCAGCCAGCTGCTCAGCACATGGCCTCCTGTAAAGATGAGACCAGGCCTGGGTCTTCCACAGGGGCCCAAGTTGGGATCTGCTCTGCTGCTGCCTGTGCTTACAGGGACCTGCTTCTGGGATTTCAGTATGGGTCACATGGTAACTTCCTACCCCCCCCCCCAAGGTGCTCCTTGCTTAATCTCCATTCACACTCAACTGAGGCTTGCTTGGTGCCTCCTCTGATTGGCCTGGGCACTGATGATTACTGAAAGTGGCTAACAAGCTGGGAAAGTCCTCTGGTCTCAAGAGATTTTTGTCCATAGAGGGAGATTAAAGAAATAAGCAAGATAGCGTGGGCATTAAAAAGTGGGCCTACAGGTCATGCTGTGTGTTGCTGGAGAGCTCCTTAAAAAGGGGCAGTGGTGACTTCGTCAGGTTCTGTGGCTATAAACACCCGAGAGCCATACCTTTAAAGAAAAGAGGTTTGGCTGATGGTTTTCAGAAGTCTGATGCACAGGGCTTGTGCTCAGCTTCTGGCGAGGATCCCATGCTGTTCACAGCGGGGGTGGAGGGGGTGGGGGCTGGTTTGAATGTGGCACAATGTAGCAGAAGGGTTGATCCATAACAACCTGCTCTTACAGTAAAGTCCAGCCCCAGGCCCCAGGAGAGTGACATCTCCCTGGGGACCAGCACTAATGTCCCTAATTACTAAACCACTTTTTTGTTGTAAAGACAGGGAGAGCTGCACATGAAGCCCGAATTCCTTGCTGGAATGTGCAGCTACTGAGTGTTGAGATGTAGCCCGCCTCCTGATCAACTTTTTCTTTGTTTCAGTTCGGGTCTCATTTTCTTATATACTCTCAAGAAGCTCCAGCTGGCCCTGCATTTTCTCTGTTGCTGAAGGTGGCCCTCCTTCGACTGTGTCCAGTTCCTAGTTACCCCATGTGTCACTGTCACACCAACAGTCAGATACCACAACTGTCTGATTGACTTGAGCTCAGTAGAAGAACATTTGCTAAAAGTGTGAAGGTCTAGATTCCATCACTAGGTGCCTCCCGCTACATTTCAACTTGAGTTTTCTAGGGGACAACCATATTCAAATCACCACAGGTAATGAATAGCAGCCACTCCGAAGACTGAAAGGGACAGAAGACCCCCCCTCCTAGCCTTAGCCATGCAGTAAGTGGGAGAGCAATGGCCAAGCACTCTGAGACTGGAGGGAGCCACCTCACCAGACATGCACCAGACACCAGCAAATTAGGCAGTGTTGAAAGGGAGGTAGAGGCCAGCACAGTAGGCATAGATAGGTGAAGAAGGAAGCATGGTTTACCTCTGGCTGTCAGGAGGATTTTTCTAGCCAAAGTTCTCAGAATGGGCGTGGCTTGTAGATAAAGAAGAGACCACCACCAAGTTCAAGAACAGTAATAACACTGTCAAAGGGGTTCTGTTTGCCTGTCCCAGGAATTCAACAGCTAAACACCTCTGCCTCACCCTCAGTGAACGCTGTCTAGGCAGGCTTGTTGACTACCCTAAGACTTGATCTAGATATGGTTTGAGCCTTAACTTGAATTGTGAAGTTTGAAGGGCAAAATTTAACTGGCTGTCCTTACTCACTATGGAAATTGATAAACTATTATTTTTTTTATTTTTTATTTTTTTTACTTTATGTATATGGGCATTTTTGCCTGAGTGCATGTCTCTGCACCACACAAATGTCTGGTGCCCGAAGAGGCCAGAAGAGGGTGTTGGATCATTTAGAACTGAGTTAGATATGGTTGTGAGCTAGCATGTGGGTGCTGGGAACCAAACCTGGGTCCTCTGGAAGAGCAGTCACTGCTCTTAACCACTGAGCCACCTCTCCAGATCTTAAGTGAACTATTTTTGGCCTTCAGAGGAAGGACCTTTGGGGGCTGATCCAGATTAGCTAATGTCTTCAGGGTGCAGCTCCCTGGTTGAATCTTGAGGCCTTTATAAGAAGTCTGTGTGCTAGATATGGTGGAACATGCCTTTAGTCCCAGCATTCATAGAGACAGACAGATCTTTTTGAGTTCGAGGCCAGCCGGTCTACACTGTGAGCTCCAGGCCAGCCAAGGCTACACAGTGAGACCCTGTCTTAAAAGGAAGAAGGAAGGAAGGAAGAATGGATGTGTAGTTCTGCTCCAGCCATGTCGATCTTCCCAGCCTCCCCTCCTAGCCCTTTGGCTAGAAGTTGTCACTGTTGCCCAGAATGGGAAGGTGCTACCACTCATGTTGAGCAACAGTTACTAATGGAAACATAAGGCAAGCAGGGGAGACCTCCGCTTCTCTTCATTTTCGGCAGATTAAAGGAGCCAAATACCCCCAGCTGCCCTCTGTGACGAGCATCATGTTAGTTGATTGGTCAACCACCTTAGTACTGGCCTGGTCTGAGTCTGGTTTGTATACATGACATTTAATCGTCATAGTGCTGGGTAGGCCTTAGGTGACACCGAGTGACATAGGACCTAGTTGCAGTCATTTGATTTTACCTTATTAGGGTAAGGATGAGGGGGTTATGTGTGGTCTTTGGTTTGCTCTGTGTGCAGATTTTGTTATTGTTGATTTGTTTTAGGCAGTGTTATAGCCCAGGCTGGTGAGGAACTTGCTTTATAGTCTAGGCTGACTTCCCACTTACAGTTCTTCTGCCTCAGCCTCCTGAATGCTAGGATGATAGGCCTGTACTATCCTGCCTGGATTGTGTGTGTGTGTTTTAATGTGAAGAGTCTTGCTTCTCATTTTGTAGCTCCAGCCTCTATGCCCTTGAGTTTTGTTAGATATTCGAAACCTGGACAAGGGAACAGGGCTTGCTGAGATGGATCCACCCAGACTGGGTTGCTCAGTGGTTAGTGGTACTTCCAGAGAACTCCCTAACACGTGTGTCAGACCTGTGGCCTGCAGGTCACATATAGCTGAGGACAGCTACAAATGTGGGCCAACATAAAGTTGTAAACTTACTTAAAACACTACATTTTTTTAGACTGTTAAGACTCTCTGGGTGGTGGTGGTGCATGCCTTTAGTCGTCAAATTTGGAATCTCTATGAGTTCAAGGCCAGCCTGGTCTACAAACCAAGTTCCAGGATAGCCAGGGCTACACAGAGAAACCCTGCTTCAAAAAAACAACAAAACACAAAACTCAATTGCACAGTTCTTGATCATGAACTTAACAGATGATGTCATTTTGCTGTGTCACAAGGACATAACCTTCCCCTGGTTATGTTCCCAAGTCAGTTCCCCCCAGTAGTTACTGTACAGCCTTCGTGGAGGATCATTGGTCTAGTTGAGTGCTGTCTGTCACCCATAGGTGACCAGTCCTCATCCATGGCTGTTCTGTGAACCCTTGGCACACCCTGGTTCCCAATTTTCCATCTCTTGAGGCTTTAGCTTGAGCAGGGCCTTGTCAGTTAACTTCAACCTGAAGAAAGTGGCCGTCCCTGACTAAACTTCCAAGTGCAAGAGGCTGAGCATGCATTTTGTGTTTCAGAACCACCAGAAGGAAGCAGATCATCCTACAACCTACTGACATGATGCTGGCTGCCCGTGTCTCCAGACCCCTGTCACAGCTCCCGGGAAAAACTCTAAGTGTCTGTAATAGAGAGAATGGGACAAGGTAAGCAACTAAAGGAAGAAGTGGCCTTGGGGACCATGTTTGTCACAGGTGGATCCTGATGTCCTCAGTACCTGCTAGACCCCAGGGAAGGGGGCTTCCAGTGCTTGGAAGTCATGCCTTCCCAGGGCTCACAGGGCAAAGAGGACCAGCTTCCTGTGTCTGTGCTGAGGATGCAGCTCTGGTCCTGTCAACAGTACTCTTCATCGCCTTATGTGATCTTGACACTAGAAGACCACTCCTAGCTACTCTGAAGACTGCCCCTCCCAGTGCAGGGTCCCTCCAGGTTAAGGGTTTGTGTGTATGTCATTGCATTGTTGTGGTAAAATACAGATTAGTAATCTGGTAAGTAGCTTGCAGAAGTGAGGTGTGCCCTCCTTAGCACACCACCAGTGTCCGTGTGACTCATTTCTTTGGTCTTTCTATATTTACACCTTAAGGAAATGCCCTAGACATCCCTGAACTGCTTATATGGTTTAGGAGAATTAAATAAGCACAGACTAAACAAACAGATCTTTGGTATTTTGGAGACACCATCTTACCATATTGCTCAGGCTGGTTTCCAACTCCTTGCTTCAAGGGTCCTGTCGCTTTAGCCTGTGAATGCTAGGTCTAGGCCTGTGTCGCTGCACTCAGCAGATCTTGCCTGTTGCAGGGGGAATTCTGTGGGCTCTGCTGCTCCAAAAGAAGACAAACTTCTGGTCATATTCGAGGGAAGTGAAATGTTTGCCAAGTTAAATGCTATAGCAAGACACTTGGTCTTTTCTATGATAGTAAATTTCTTGAGAACAGACACGGAGGGCTGGAGAAATGGCTCAGAGGTTGCCTCTTCTGGCATGCAGGCATACATGCAGGCAGGACACTATACACAATAAATAATAAACATTAAAAAATAGATAGATAGATAGATAGATAGATAGATAGATAGATAGATAGATAGAAAGAACAGACTTTTAGGATTTCTCAGCATTTGTATGGGATCCAGAGCAAGAGGCTCCGCTGCAAATAGAATTTAGCTCTCATTGTCACCGTGTGACAGAATGTGCCCGTGCAGAGCAGTGTTCACTGCATTGAAGGGGACAAGGATCCTGACTGTGGAAGGGTTTTAGAGAGAAGTATCTTTCTGCCTTTAAAAAAAAAAAAAATCTATTCTTATTTACCTTTTAATTATTCAAGTCCTTGAATGTTGCAACATCAGAAATTCTGTATCCAATGGATTAAGCAGGAAGTTGCCTGGGAATCTGGCAGGAGCCACACCACTGTTCACACGGCATAAATTGCCCTTCTTAGATGGCTCTGCTTCTGTCCTTTGCTCTCACGACTGCATGGTTCCTGCTTTGTTGTACATAAGAGCAACCCTTGCCCAAGGAGAATTCACCTTTGTCTCTGATATAAGTGCTGTGTATTTAGGAAGAGCTGTGTTACCTCTGCAGATCATTCTGCTGCCAGGGAAAATTGCCCCATTATTTGCCGGCCTCTATCCTTTAAAGCAAGTGAAAAACCTGGGCCTGGAGAGATGGCTCAGTGATTCAGAGGCCCTGCTGCTCTTCCAGAGGACCTAGATGCTCCCGGGAGCATCCACATGGCAGGTCATGATAGTCCAGCTCCAGCTGGAGGGGAGTGCCCCCTTCTGACCTCTGCAACCACTGCACACACGTGGTACACATACTATTTGTAGGCAAAATATCCATGCACATAAAATAAAAAATAGAAAAACCTGTCCCCAAAGTGGCATTTAGAGATTTCTGAAATTTTCTTATATCAAAAACAACCCCAAAGGGAATTAAAATATTTCTACCAAAGATTTGTCTTTAAAGGGAAGTGGGGCATTAGTTGCACTTCTGGTTCATTTGAGGAGGGGAAAAAATACTACTACAGGGACATTCTTGACTACGTGAGTAATGAAGAGTTATCTGGTATTTCAAATGTCAGTGTGTGTGCCATTTGCAGGGGCAGCAGAGCTGAATCAGAATGAATTACATGTCCCCAAGGTGGTGTATCAGTAGAGGCCCAGAGGGAGGGCAGACACAAAGGGAGGCTGGCACAAGGGGTGACCTGTGCTAAGGATCGGCACTAGGTCCTGGGGGAGAAGCACTGGCCTGAATTCTCTTGAATCTCAGTTGCCAAGGGCTTCATGCTCCTTTCATTCCCTAAGGGTGAATCCTGCTGATCCCCTGGCATCCTTGATGTGTGACCTCCCAGCCTTGGTGCATTTGAATGTATCCATTGATGGGAAGTCATTACCTCTCACAGCACACCTTGTGTCTTTGGACAGCTCTACATACAGTCCTTCTTTATAGCGAGTGGAAATGCTTTCTCTTACAAATGCCACCCTTTGTTCCTGGGTCCACCTCTGTTTTCAGTGTGTCACATCTCTCGGGACAGCATGCCATTCAGTACCCATCTGCTTGTCCCATTTTATTCCATCTATACAGTTCCCTCCGAAGTCATTTTCTCCAACTGCAAGACCAGCCTAGCAAGGCAAAAAGCCTTAGCCTGTGATTGCTCTACTGACATCTGTGGCCTCAGCCTATGCATGCCAGTGAGGGTCAGCAGACAGTGGACTTCATCCCAACAGGCATGCTGTGGAGGTGGGGGTGGGGCGGGGGATCCTCGTCAGCCAAAGAAAGCTAAGTAGAGACCAGGACCGTCATTCTAGGATAGCTCTGTCTGCTTTGGAGGAAGAAGAGTCATGGGAGGCTGCTGGGAGACTTTATCCACCCCCATCAGTAATGAGACCATACATATGTGTGCAAAGCAGTAATGAGACCACCAACTTCTCCCTCCCACCCAGGGAAGTAGCAGTGGGGGCCTGGAGCTGGGCTGAGCTTTCTATGACTTTATGAAGTCATGGAAGTGTTTATGAAGCTAATATTATACTTATCTCCAACCAGACAAAGACAGTAACACAGAAAGTGGGAGGGGGAGCTACAGACCCGTATACACACACACACACACACACACACACACACACACACACACACACTGTCCCTCACACACACACACACACATACACACACACACTGTCCCTCACACACACACTCTCTCTCTCTTCCTCACATACACACACATTCTCCCTCACACACACACACCTCTCTCTCACTCACACACCCTCATACACACACTCACACACATACATACATACACACACTCATACACACACACTCACACACATACATACACACACACTCTCTCACACACACACACTCATACACACACACTCATACACACACACTCACACACATACATACACACACACTCTCTCACACACACACACTCATACACACACACTCACACACACACATACATACATACACACACTCATACACACACACTCACACACATACATACACACACACTCTCTCTCTCACACACACACACACTCATACACACACACACTCACACACACATACATACACACACTCTCCCTCACACACACACACTCTCACTCACATACACACACTCACACACTCACACACACACGTACACACACACACACACACACACTCATTTTGAGTCAGGGTTTCTCTGTGTTGCTCTGTAGACCAAGATGGCCTCAAACTCAGAGATTTGCTTGTCTCTGCCTCCCAAGTGCTGGGATTAAAGGTGTATGCCATCACCACCCTGCCAGACTCTTAAATTATTAACAGGTAGAATTCAACAATATCTTTTTAAACTATAAAACATGAAAGAAATGTATTTGTTCCAGGGATATACGGATAGTTATTTAATTATTTACAGGTATGCATGCATGTGTTGGTGAATATATATGAATGCACAAGACCAAACTAAAGGATGCCCAAGGTTTATTAGGAAACACTCTCTGATAACAAGGTGGAGAGTGCCGGCCGTCACCCATTCTGCCCTGGGGTGAATGGAAGCAGCAATCCATCTCTGACCAACACACAAGAGAGTGAGCACCAGCCCCCTCTTTCTTTCAAAGGACTTATGTCAGCAGACAAGAAGCTCTGCCTCTTGTCAGATAGCCATAGGTCACGGATGGGAAGAATACCCACTGTGTGTGTGTGTGTGTGTGTGTGTGTGTACATGCCTGTGTGTGTATGTGTACATACATACATGTATATTTATGTGGGTATGGATGAATGTGTGTTTATGTGGGTATAGATGGATGTGTGGGTGCAATGAAGCCCAGAGGGGCAACCTCAGATGCCATCCATGTTGTAGTATAGAAGTTATTCTAAAATTTACGTGGAAAGGCAAAAGAAATAGAATAATAATTTCTTTTTCAAAAAAAGAAATAAAGTGAGGGTACATAGGTCAACGGAACATTGAGAGCTTCAGAAGTAGGCCACACAATATGCTTGACTGCTTTTTGGCAACAGTGATTCAGAAGATAACATTTCAAACAGTGCTGGGTCTCACAAGCAAAACCAAATTCTCTAAGTGGTGTCTCACACCAGCACAGACTCAGAAAGAACCATGAGCTTAAATTGACCTAAGTGTTGTCTCATGCCAGCACAGACTCAGAACCGAGAGCTTAAATGGGAAACTTTCAGGAAAAAAACAGGGGGTTAAGTTTAGGTCAAGAGCCACATATGCCCTATAAGAGGAAAAATGGATCGATTAGACATCATCAAAAGGAAACACATTCCCTTGAGTAGTCCCTGCTAAGAGAACGGGGGCAGACATGGCAGTGCACACTTTTAATCCCCATTTGGGAGGCAGCAGCAGGTAGATCTCTGTGAGTTTAAGGCTAGCCTCATTTACAAACAAGTTCCCAGCTACTTAAGGGTACACAGGGAGACTGTCTCCAGACACACACTGGAAGGAGGCTGTTACAGATTAGGAGAACATAATATTTTTTTGCCACACAGGTAGCAAAGGCACCTAGAGCATCCAAAGGATGTTCAAAGTTCACCTGTGAAGGTAGAGAGTCCACTTAGAATGTGCCCAAACACAGGATGTCCCCACAAATGCTGAAATCCTACTTCCCATATTGCTGGTGTATTGTGGTTCTCTAGAGGAATATAGGGGGATGGCTTATAAAAGGGGTGAGTTAGAATGGGTTGCACAGTAGAGCTGGATAGTCTCAACAATTGTTGTGAACACATCGGAGAGCCCGAGACCCCAGTAACTGCTCAAACCATAAAGCTAGATGTCTCAGCAGTCTCAAAACAGTGCTGGAGGCCTGGGAGATCCCTGATCATCACTGGTTTTCAATCCACATTGGAAGGCAGAAGAAACTGGAATCGGATAGTAACAGTAGAGTGTGCACCTCAGGAAGAAGTAAGCACAGGCCAGCAGCAAGCTTTCCCTTCAGACTTCTATGCATATGAACCCACCATTAAAAGTTGCAGCTGCCTCTGAGGTAGCTCTCCTACCCAGAGTGAATCCTCTTTGGAAGCGCTCAAAGACAGCTTGTGTCTTTTAGGTTGTTTCCAAATCCTGTCCAGTTGATAGTTAAAAGCGACCATGCCAGCTGGTGTGAGAAGGTTGGGCCTTAGGAAGTATTAGGTCATAGAAGCAAAGCCTTCATCAGTGGGTTAATGTCTTGGTGACAGAGGTCTAAGACAACTCCCCCATCTCCTTCTGACAAGTAAAATCACAGTAGTGGACTCTCATATCTGCTAACACCTCGAGTTTGAGCTTCCCAGTTTTCAAAGCTGTTAAGTTTTGACCCTTTATAAAGCACTGTCTAGTTTGTAAGGCACCCATACTATGGTATCTTATTAGGCGTCTGACCTGAGGCAGGCAGTAGATAACCAACGTCATTAGCTATTAGAGAAATGCAAATTAAAAACAAATGAGATAATCATGTATAGTTTTAGACATGACTAAAAAAAAAAACAGTGGCCTTTAAATGCCAGCACTTGGCATAGTGAGACAGAAGGATGTTGGCCAGTTTGAGTCAGTCTGGTCTACAAGTCCCATACTAGCCTGGCCTACGTGAGACCCTGTCTCAAAAACCAGCAATAACAAATAAAAAATTAAAAATAGTGACATCATCAAGTTCTGGGAAGTATGTGGAGAAACTGTGTCGTCATACATTCCTGCTGGGAATGCATGCTTCCTCTGCTCCTGAGCTGTAAACAGCTCCCAGTCTCTTTAAAATCAAAGTATACACCTACCATATGACCCAATGGTTACACTCCTGGGAGTTTATCCAAGAGAAACATGTTTATACAAAATCCTGCCCAGGAATATTCATAGTGGCTTTATTCATAATAAATAAAAGGTGGAAGCTACCCAGAAGACCTTCAGAAAGTAAATATAGTTAGACAGTTGCCCAAGTTAGAGAGGGGACTTAGACATAAAAGGGCAAGCTTGTTTCCAGAGAGCAACACTTGAGTGTACCAAGCTAGACCCAGGGGCTATGTACTATATTTCTCACAGTTCTCTTTGGTGTTACCATCTTGTGTTTTTGAGGTAGAATTGTACTTTGTAGTATAGGCTGGCCGGGAACTCCCAGAGTCTTCTTGCATCAGTCCCCTGCATGTTGGGATTAAGCCACCATGCCTGGCTTAACATTGCTGAAATGATAGTTGTAGTGATAGAGAACAGATTGAAGAGGGTGGGGTGGGTGTGGCTCTGGAAAGGGTAAAGAGAAAGATGCAAAACATGATGGAAATGTTCCACATTGTTGCTGTATCTCTGTCAGTATCCTGGCTGTGATATTGCAGTCGTGCAATTCTACCATTAATAGAAACTGGGCAAGGGGTACCCAACATCTGTCTGCTTGCTTGCTTTTCTTTTCTCTTCCCTCTCCTCTCTTCTCTCTTCTCCCTCTCCCCATCCCTCTCGTTTCCTAGTACTGGGGATTAAATCTAGGATTTTGCATGTGATAGGAAAGCACTATACCGCTGAACTGTACCCACAGCCCTATTTTTACTTTCCATGATAGGCAGGGTCTCACCAAGTTGCCCAGGATGGCCTTAAATGTATGATCCTTCTGCTTCATCTTCCCAAGTAGCTGTGATTACAAGCCTGCCTCTACCCAGCCCAGCTCTATTGTTTGTAAACAGTGTGTATGTCTATAATTATCTACGCATAAAAAGTTTAAAAACAAGATCAGGAAAACAGCATTGAGCTTACGGAGAGTTGAAACACTGAAAATAAAGGCAGCTTTACTTTTAATGTGCATGTGTGTGCGTGTATGTGTACATGCCCACATGTGGAGATCAGAGGACAGCCTGCAGTGATCAGTCCTCTCTCCTAGCATCATGTGGCTCTGGTGATGAATCTCAGGCTGTTGGGGTTGGCAGCAATAACCTTTACCCACTAATCTATCTCACCAGCCTGCAGAAGGCTTTAAAAGAAATGTTCTCTGAAAGCACATGCATGCTTTGATTACACCTTGATCACGGAATACTCACCATCTGTGTCACCCTGGAAAGCAGAAAATGAATATTACTGGAGTAGGCCAAGGACCAGCCAAGTTTTGGCATGGCTTCCTATGAAAAGTAGCCATTGGGCTGGCTTTCTTCTCAGGAAGGCAACTCCCATCTAGTAGCTGAGACAGCTGCTGCACAGGCTGGTCCACTGCCTGCCTGCCTGGCTCCTGGTGGGGAGGGGGTCTCTAAGCAGTAACAGAGCTGACCCAGAGCCTCGGGTGGGGAGAAAAATCGGTGCTACCTTAGCTTAGGTGGTGGTTGAGGGTGTTCCAAGATCTTTCTCCCCATGAGTGGGGTCTGGAGAAGGACTTGTACCTTGAATTCATGGTTTACTCTTTTCTTACAGACACACACTGTTGTTTTACCCAGCATCCTTCACTGCATCCATCCGTCGGACTTATACCAGTGAGGCAAATGCGGTGAGTGGCAGCCAGCTCCCTGCGAGCCCTGAGGTTGGGAGGGCCCTTTTGGGACTCCAGGCCGTGAGCTACCTTCTGAATGGGCCTGGACAGAGTGGCTGGAACACTCCGAACCACATTTTCGCTTAAGCCTTCTTTGAGGCCCTCCACCAGCAGGTAGACCCTCTCCCCATGCATATGGGAGCAGTGATGACACACTCTACCCCTCCCAGTCAGGGAACTTGTGGGGAGCACCTGCCAGGAAGCAAAGAACTGGGTTTCAGAGTGAGGTTCTGGGGTCTCTCAGCCCTATCTGTGTTCCAGTCCTGCCATTAACTACATTTTGAAAGTGACTCTGTTTCCCCACTGGAGACATGGAGTAAGCACACTTACTCTATAGCAGCTGTTCTCAACCTATGGGTCATGACCCCTTGGGGGAGATTGGGGTTGTACCACCCTTCCACAGGGGTTTCCCAAGACCATTGGAAAACACAGATATTTACATTTGTAACAGTAGCAAAATTACAGTTATGAAGTGGCAACAAAATAATTTTATGGTTGAAGGTCACCACAACATGAAACTGTAGTAAAGGGTCGCAGCACTGGGAAGGTTGAGAACCATAGGTTATGGTTGGGGATGGGGGCATGATATGAATAGAGTACATGCCCAGTGCTTTGCGCTCAGGAAGCACTGGATAAGCCTGGCTTTGATGAAGATGACAAGGGCAGTGAGCATCATGGTGACTATAGATAAGACACTGAGAAAGCAGGAGTCATTTCCCAGGCAGTCCTGTTGCTGGCTGAGTCTAGGCTGGAGCTTGGTCTCCTGATTCTAAGTGCCAGTCCCAGTATGCCTTGATGCCTGTCATTCTCCAGAAAGTGAGAGCCAGCTAGGGGGATGAGGCTTGGCCACCCAGCATGCATTAATATTACTGTGCAGAGGGCTGGGGAAGGCTGGTTGCTCTCCTCAGGATCCTGGGTTCCTAACATGGGTCTAACTTTCTAAAACAGGATAGTGGCAAAGCTGTCCTGGTCACAGGCTGTGACTCCGGATTTGGGTTCTCTTTGGCCAAACATCTACACTCAAAAGGTTTCCTTGTATTTGCTGGATGCTTAATGAAGGTAAGACTGGGCCATTTTCTTTACTATTATCCAAGCTCTCTCTCTCTCTCTCTCCCTGTGTGTGTGTGTGTGTGTGTGTGTGTGTGTGTGTGTGCGCGCGCGCGTGCGCGTGCGCGTGCATGTGCACACACTCTCACTTGCGCACACACTCTCACATGTGCATGCTCTTCTATGTGTTGCTAAAACAGCCTACACTTTCCCTACTTCAGTCTCATTTGTTCCAGCTTTTTGCACAGGTGCATGCATCCACGCATCCTCCCATGCATCATCCATGCATAAATCTATGCATCCATTCATCCACCAATCCTTCCATTGCTCATCCATCCATTGCTCTGCCATTTATTCACTCGTCAAATGATGGGCCTGCCACTTTGCTAGATGCTGTGGAATAAGAGTGCTCCAAGATCCAGTATCTTAGAGTTATATTGCTGTGATAAACACCATGACCAAAAGCAAGTTGGGGAGGAAAGTGTTTACTTTGCCTACATTTCCATATCACATTTCTTTGTAGAAGGCAGTGAGGGCAGGAACAAACAGGGCAAGCATTGGAGGCAGGAGCTGACACAGAGGCCATGGAGGGGTGCTGCTTAGTGGCCTGCTCCTCATGACTTGCTCAGCCTGCTTTCTTACAGAACCCAGGACCACCAGTCCAGGAGTGGTATCACCCACCATAGCCTAGGCCTTCCCACATCTATCACTAATTAAGAAAATGGCCTATAGGCTTGCTTGATCTTTTGGAGGCATTTTCTCAATTGGCATTCCCTCCTCTCAGATGACTCTAGCTTGGGTCAAACTGACATAAAATAGCCAGCACATTCAGAGAGTTCTCCATCCAGTGGTAAGAGGACACCATGCATAGGCACAGCTGAAGAAGTAGAATGGAAGCATTCTCAGGTCTTTCCAGATTGTTCCGGGTGAGGGGGAGAGATTGGCTCTGACTTGATGGGGAGGTGACATTGTTCAGGGCTGTCATAGATGAAGACTAGGAGACATGATCTGAGAGACAGAAGGGACATCCCAACACAGACTTGAAAGTGTAGAGCTAACTATTTTGGGACATCAAGTAGCATTTAGGGTCCATGAAGGGAAGTACTAGGATAGGAGACTGCAAATGTAACTAGGGGATTGTCCCCCCAGTTCAGAGAGCAACCTCCACAGGTCACTTTTAGGACATTTTCCTGGATCAATATTTTCCCTTTGGTTCTTTTCAGTTATATGCTGACATTCCACCCCCCCCCCAACACACACACACACACACACACACACACACGCACGCACGCACGCACGCACGCACGCACGCACGCACGCAGCCGTCCCATGCACCTCAAGCCCCAGCCAGTCACTGATTTCCATCCCCCTAGACTTGCCTTCTCTGGATGTTTTTCACATTGGATTCAAAGTTACTGGGTCTTTTTACTATGTGTCTTTCACATAGCACAATGTTTTCTTTGTTTGTTTTTAGACAGAGTCTCACTGCCAAGAACCCACAGAGATCCATTTGTCTCTGCCTTCCAGGTGCTGAGATTAAAGGCGTGCCCCACCACACCTGGCCCTAGCATGATTTTGAGAGCCATCTATATTGTAGCATGTATCATAGTTCATTTTTTCTGCAGAATATTACTTGATTATATGGATATACTACAGTGCTTTGTTCATTTGTACCCTAGATAAACTGGATAAAAACTTTAGAGATTTATTTTTTTATATGTATGGATGTTTTGCCTGCATATATGTATACCACATATATGTCTGGAGCTCCCAGAGGCCAGAAAAGGGCATCAGATACCCTGGAACTGGAGTTACAGATGGTTGTGAACCACTCTGTGGGTACTGGGAACTAAACCCAAGTCCTCTGCAAGTGCTCTTAACTGCTGAGCCATCTTTCCAGCCCCAAACTGCATTTCTAAAAAACATTCATAAAAATTAAAAATAAGCACTTGGCTTGACTTTTGGCTGTTTTGAATTGTGTTACTGTGAGCATTCACATCCCCATATCAGTGTAAGCCTCAGGGCATTAGAGTCAGTCCCTACCTGGGCCAGGTCATAAATCCAGAGCTTGCCCATGGCAAGAAGGACAGAGGTGACTACAGCCCTATCTCCCCAGGACAAAGGTGATGCTGGGGTTAATGAGCTGGACAGCTTAAACAGTGACCGACTAAGAACCATCCAGCTCAATGTCTGCAATGGTGAAGAGATCGAGAAAGCAGTAGAGACCGTCCACTCCAGCCTGAAGGACCCTGAAGAGGGTAAGGGTGCCTTGAGAGAGACTGCCAGTGCTGTGAAACTCAGGGTTGGTGTGTGGTGCCATTGTAGGGATCCTGGCCAATGCTGCCCTCCATTTGCAGGCCTCCTGGGAAAAGGCTCCTCTATTGTTTAAACTCTTTCTCCTGCTTGGTTTAAGGGAATGGATTAAATTAAGCATACTGGTGCAATAGGGCAGAAAAATGGCTATAGGCGAGTTTGAAATCTGTGGAGTGACAGATTGACATACTAATTCGGGCCGGTTCATCCAGTGCTCTTTGAATGTCCACCCTGGGCCAGGCACTGGGCTGAGTGGTGGGGATAGCCAAAGCTTACAGTTCTGTGAGTGGATGGATTTCACCATCAGGAAGCATGGCATGAACAGAGGCAGCAGCAAGGGAAGGGGGCCGTTGCCCAGTGCCAGGGGTAGGGTAGGGATAGGTAGTGTGGTAGAGAGCCAGGAGGGTTATGCCAAAGGGAGGGCAGAGCGTGAACAATGATGGGCTGCAGCCCATGGTGGGCTGGGATACGGCAAATGGTACCTTCATGGTAAGTTTGAGACTGGAGGTGGCAGCAGATGAGGTAGAGGACTGTCAGCTTTGCAGAAGGTACTGGAGAGTGAAGGGACTGTCTTGGGGTCGTGGCCTGGCTTGACTTGTGAAGCTCCCCCTGAAGCCTGCATTACAGAAGGGAATGGTGGGTTAAAGGGGAGTACGGGTGGCAGAGCCCTGAACACAGTGGTAGGAGCTCGCTAGTCGTACCTAGAGAACAAGCTAGCAGACAATTTGGATATGGAAATGAAGTGGCAAGAGGTGTCTGTCCTACATAGCTGGTGTCCTCCACTGCAAGAGCAAGATGAGGGGTGAATAGGCACGGAGATGCCCATGGGACACTCTGGGATGTGTCCAGAGGGGATGTAGGACCCAGGGAGAGGGAGCCGGTTGGATGGAGTGCTCAAAGCTAAAGTTATAGACAATGTAGAGAGCCAATGGTCCAAGGATCAAATGTTGGAGAGGCTCCCTGAGCATCTTGTTTCGTCCTAGTTCAGCCTGTGTGGGGGGACTTTATAGTTTGAGGGAGTCTGCTCTCCATCTGAGGGGGTTACCATTCAAGTGGACCTCAGGAGCAGGGAGCTGGGCCATACAGTAGGCCCTGTGCAAAAGCCAGTCTGTGCTGTTGATCTTGGAGCCCCTTGACATGTTAGCTCCCTGCTGCTCAACTGCTGGGTGGGGCCCAGTGAAGGGGCTGGGTGACCTGCACCTGCGCTTCGTAGCTGACCAAAACCGCCAGGCTGAAAAAACAAAACAAAACACTGCCATCTCTGAGACGAACTTGTGCCACATGACTAACAGAAGAGACTGTTCCTTAGGGAGCCTTAGGGTCACTTCAGCAGCTTGGGGCTGCCACACTACCCTCCTAGAGGCCACTCTGGGGCGCTGTGTTCTCCAGGAGCCCTGTGTGCTGAAGACCCTCTGGACATCTGTTTAATAATTAACAGCGATACTTGGTGTCCCTGGCCCATTAAGAAAAGGCAGGCGGGTCCCACAGGGATGATCACCAGTCACATAGCCTGTCACCCTTTGTCCCCCACAGTCTCCCTGGACAGCTAGGGCATTGCCTTCACAGACTAGGAAGCAGAAAGGCCACAGCAGCAGGCAGCCTGGAGTCACAGCTTGTGGGACTTGGCAGAATGGAGCACAGCTGGGATCCATGGCTACTGTTCTGCCATTCACAGAAACCATCCTGCAATTTTGGAGTTTTCCGGTTCAAAACCAGAAAGCAAAGCTGTCAGATAGCATTTGCATGCCGGCTTCCCCCCCACACACACTCTTTTCCATCCTCTCCATCAACCTCTTCCTGCCAGTTGTGTCCCTGTCCGCGCCCCTCCCCCATGCCCCTTCTTCTAGCCCTGATTGTCCTTTTCCTGGTAAGTCTGAACACCTCCCATTGAGCACTGTTGGCTTTGGCCTCCAGGTGGCACCCTCCCAGAGCGTCCCAGCAGTCAGGTTTACCATCCCACCCAGTCTGGATAAGGACAGATGTACGCCCATCTTGGGCCCTCCTGGGCACATTTTGATGCTGCTTTTCACTCTGGCTCTATGGGACAGTCACCACCAAAGTCTGGGAAGCCACCTCAGGTGCTGAGGTGAAGTGAACTCTGCTTAGAGAGTTCAGCCACCTACCCTGCTTTGTAGGACCCTGAGCCTGTGACCAGCCCTCCCAACTCCAGGAAAGCATGCACACACACACTGACAGTGTAGGTACGGCCTGCCCCTGGAGCCATTACTTACCAATGGGGAAGCATTTACTGAGCCCCTGCTTGAAGCTCTGGACTATGCTAGGAGCTAGACACCAACCTAGTGGCTTCTGGACAAACCTCTGAGAAGCAGTTAAACAACCCAGGGCCTTATGCTGTGGGCAGGGAATCCTTTACATCAGGTTGTCCCTTGATCTTGGGGGGGGCGGGGATGGGGACAGGGACTGTATTTATCCAGACCTTCACCTCTCTAAACAAGTGTGACTTGGGTATGAACCAGCTCCGATGTGGGCCTCAGCTTGCTTGTCTGTGAAGTGGTAAAGTATTTCTAGCCATCTCTTGCCTAGTCTAGACCTTATGACTGTGGAAGCAGGGGGCGGCTTTCCCAAGGAGCAGCCAAGCTGTTCATACTGAGAGGCAGAGTATGTGGAGAGAAGTCTGCAAAGGCCTCGGGTGCTACACTGCAGATTTAGAGCCACAGGAATGGGGAGAAAGATGAGCCTGGGTAGAGATGGAGGCTATGGATTGAGGCAGGGAGACCTGGAGGGATCTTCACAGAGCACAACAGAGTTCAGCCAGGGCTTGTGTTAATGCAGAAGGAAACAGAACTGACTCTTTGCCACAGTGGGGCTACGCATGAAGGCTTGTCCTCAGTCCTGGGTCAGATCTCACCTTCCTTGCCTAGTCCCCAGTGACACCGAGCAAAGACGAAGCCTCTATGAGCCTCAGTTGCACCAGTCAGCTATGGGTTGATTTAGCATCTACTGTGTGACTTAGTTATGAGGGTCAGGTGACATCACCAGTGCCATTCTGATCATGCCATCTTTCCAGCCCTGGGTGACACATTGGATGGGGAGAGGGGAGGAGTTGGAGGAGTGAACATAGTAACACTAACAGAACTCAGCGTGTTAGTGGTGGTCAGGGTGAGTTAGGACTGTGCAGCTCAGACAGAAGGGACAGTAAGGTGGAGTTGTGGATCCAGTCCCTCTAAAGGCACATGGGACTTGTCTGGACACAGAGATAATACTGAGGCCATTCTGGGGAAGCAGCTGCCCCCTGGGCTGGCAAGAGTGCTGTTGAAGTTTCTTTAGAACCCTGACTGGCCAAGGACTCCGGAGAAGTACCAGGTCAACTGTTGCTTGCCCAGTCGGCACTCAGTGTACTTACATAGGTTAAGTTTAATTCATCTTTATTGGACAGTAGTACTAGATACAATTGTTTTACTTTTAGGTTGAATGTACACACATACATTTTAGACCCTGTGATACTGTCCCATTTGAGTCAGACACAAAGCCACTGGAAAGGTCTTCTACAAGTATGTAGTAGCAGAAAAGACTGTGTTAACATTCAGGAGAGTCAGGCTGAGCATGAGACACTGGATATGACTTCTAGGGGTGGCGGCAGGTAGAGGAAAAATGCTGGGATTCTCTGTGTCACTGGGGGGGCAGCGGGGGGGGGGCGGAGCTGGTGCCCAGGGCCATTAGTAGATGGTATCAAAGAAGAGATTAGAGATGGGGCCGGACTTAGTTGGTGGCCTCTTAGAGGCCATAGGAGAACAGGATGAACAGTAGATGGGAGGTTGGAGTCCAGAGTGGTGTGACAGGATGGAGAGGTTAGGATGTTCTCAGAAGGAAGGAGATCAGGTAGCACGGTCTTAGGGGGTAGAAATGTAGTAGACGTTCATCACCCAACACACATGCACTGCGTTCCTAATGGACAGTTAAGGACGGCTGCTGTGGGTGGAGAGGGGCATGGGCCTAAGGGTTAGCCATAGCCACCAGAGAGGCTTTGGGCTCCAGCTGGAAGCCTCAGGGAAGCCAGAAGACAGCTGTTGGAGCTGTGGGGTTTCTGGGATGCCTCTGATTGTGTGGGTTGTGCCTCAAGGTCACAACTTTAGCCTGAGAGCTGAGGGCAGGGAGCCCCAGCAGGCAGCTGGTGCAGGAGAGAGCTCTTTGGACACCAGCAATTTCCTCTCCTTAATAAATGCCCTTAATTCCCTGTAATTGAAGGAGAAGGCACCAGAGGTCAGCTGACCAAGCTTTAATTTGGACAAGACGGAAGGAAAGCAACTGGAGACCAATTACCCTGTCATTTACACAAACTCATTCCCGTGATGCACTGGGAGAGTGAGTCCCAGGCCTCATTCTCACAGGTGATGAGCAAGCATCCTGCCTCTGCTGAAGCCCCTGCAAGGAGCACAGAGCTTTTTGTGGCAGGAGGTTAAGCCATGAGGAGACCAAACCCTGAGAATCTCCATAACAAAGAGGAAGGACCCCACTCTGCCCTGGGGCTCTGACCCATCCACTTCTTACACCCCCAAAACGGAACTCAAAACCCTGGAAAGCAGGCGCCTTCCCTTGGCTCGGGTCCAACCCCATCTCCGACTTAATGATGAGACTTAAAGCTGTCTTTTCCCTTGACAGCTTTGGTTTCCCTTGCTGCCAAAATAGTTAAGACAAAATAAACTCCAGGAACTTTCCAGAACCAACATTGTCTGCGTCTACAAAAGCCAGCTGTCCCTTAGCTGCTCTGTGAAACAGTCAGCTGGAGCAGGCTGTGAGTACAGGCATCTTCTTGGAGCCTGTACTGACACACACACAGGCTTAGGAGAGGGTGAGAAGAGACACACTGTCCCTTAATGTGTGACCAGCAAACAGCAGCACGCTCAGGAGAGGAACATGAGAGAACAGAGAATTTGTTACGAGTTCCAAGGTGGAGTAGGGTGGGGCCTGATCATGAGCAAGGCTTGGCAGCAGAACCCATAACTTAATGGGTGACCTTGAAGTTTTGGGTCCTTCTATGAGCTTGGCTTGGAAAATTCCTGAGGTTTGCCTGGTCACTGGCAAGCGGGGCAATAGAAACAATAGCTGAGTTGCATGAATAGATACAGGGTGTAGACTTGAGGTCATATGGAGGAGAGGGAAATGCCTGTCTTCCTTCCTTTTCTGTTGCTGTGATAAACACCATGACCAAAAAACACACTGGGAAAAGTTTATTTGGCATATAAAATACCATCTCTGTGAAGGAAATCGGGGCAGGAACTCAGAGCAGGAGCCTGGAGGCGGGAACAGAGCAGAGGCCATGGGGGAGTGCCGCTTACTGGCTTGCTCTACAGTTTGTTTTTGTACACACCACCTGGCAAGGCATTGTATCACCCGCAAGAAAACGCCCTATAGATTTGCCTACAGGCAGCTCGTACGGAGTAATAGTAATCTTTTCAATTACTATTACCTCTTCCCAGATACTCATCAAGTTGACAAAAGCCAACCTGTCCAGTGTAGGTGTGGAGCAAGACATGGGCGAAGATCCTGCAAGACTCAGTCATGAAGGGCTGAGAATTGATTCAGCCAGCAGTGACAGGAAGCCTGGATGTTGGTTCTCTCTCTCTCTCTCTCTCTCTCTCTCTCTCTCTCTCTCTCTCTCTCTCTCTCTCTCTTCACTCTTGGCCGACTCTAGAAATGTTTCCTGAGAGCCTTGGGCAAGAGGCTGGGGGTCATGGGAGAAAGATCAGAGTAGAGAGCGGCGATGGGCTAGTGGCATCGGAGCCCACATGGTGACCTGCTGTGTCCTCTTTCGTCCAGGATTGTGGGGCCTGGTTAACAATGCAGGCATTTCAACATTCGGGGAGGTGGAGTTCACCAGCATGGAGACATACAAAGAAGTGGCAGAAGTGAACCTCTGGGGTACAGTGCGCACAACGAAATCCTTCCTCCCCCTTCTCCGGAGAGCCAAAGGTGAGCTGGAAGACAGATTCTTCCTGCCCACCCCCTCATTGTACCTGCCCGACCTTTTCATTCCTGTTCAGATTGGAAACACCAGAGCTGCCAGAGCTAGCATCCACAGTAGTGAGGCGACTTCAGGGGTCTCAGAGCCATGCTGGGCGTGGGAATGGTGATGGGGAGAAGTGCATGGCCAGGTAGGGGCGAGGAGTCTGTGGCTTTCAGAAGTAGAGTAGATGGGTTGGGATGGTGGTACACAACTGTAAGCCAGCACTGACTGAAGCAAGATCCTGAGTTAATGTCAGCCTAGGACACATAATGAAACCCTGTCTCAAAAACGCACAGGAAAGGTAGTTCAGTGCACTCAGGGCTTATGGATCATAGCGGCTTGCCCTCTAAGAACCAGTTCTGGAGAAGTAACCACATGTCCACCAACTGTGTCTGCATGCTGTCATATCACAGTGTAATATTAAACAAATGTTAGTATGTTCCATAGCTTAAAAATGAGACATTGTGTTATTCAGTTCAAACAAGACTAGAAACTTGGAGAACAGACACAATGCCCAGATCACATAAAATAGCCATATATCAGCAAAGCTAGCTATAAAGTCATGAGGTCTGACTTTTCTCCCTGGAACAGCAAGCCACTGTGACAAAAAGGTACCAGATCCCCAGATCTGTCTCAAGGTTTTGGCAATGTAGGAACGGACAGGAATCAGCTGTAGTCTTCAAGAGGAAGCCCCACCTTTTAGTGACCTCACACTTAGGGGGTGTATGTTCTGGGGGGCACCCCTTGGGCAAGTTGACCCAGGTCAGCCTGGGCTGAGTGGGATCTACCCCAACCCCACCAGGATGGGAGAAGTTGGGATGGACCCATTCTCAGGCTAGGGCTGTGACAGAATGCTTGAGTCGGGCAATGATACCTCATGTCCAGCCTTGAAATCAGCTTTGGAGGTCAGGCCCCTGCTCCTGCTCCTGCCCCAGCCCACTCTTTCTGGCTCTGGTGCTGGGAATAGCCCACCACCCCCGTCCTCCTCTGGGATGGGGGTGTTGTAGGCTCCCTTTTGCCAGCCTGGTCCTGGGCATTCTGGCTTCTGTGCTCTATCTCTGTCCCCGGCCGTGCCAGCAGTCAGCACCCACCTGGACTCACCATGATACTTCTCTGTGTACCTAACTGGGGAAGCTGAGTTTTAAGCTCACTGAGGGGAAGGAGGAGGTTTTGGTTTGTGTTTCTCCCCAACTGGCATCAGACCCTGCTTAGAGTGGACGCATAGGTTCACACAGACATAGCCATTCCATGTCTCACACACGGCCGGTATGTTTCCACCCCACAGTATTATCACCAGGCAGGCTCCGGCCAGTGATCAGTCATGCGTGTGTACCTTTTCCAGGGCACCCTCCTGGTGCACAGGCTTGTTCCTCCTCTGTTCCCCCTTCCCTGGTCCTGCCTGGCACAGCAGAGTCCTTGAGGAAGATTGGGGACCCTGGTTAGCTAGGTGGTCCACCGAGGCCCCCTGCCTCTGGTTCTAAAGCTGTCCCTGCCAGGCCACCATGTCACAGGGCAATCCATCTGAGCAGATGTTTGCTGTCTTCTTCTATAGGCCGTGTTGTTAACATCAGCAGTATGCTGGGCCGAATGGCCAACCCAGCCCGCTCACCTTACTGCATCACCAAGTTTGGGGTAGAGGCTTTCTCCGACTGCCTCCGCTATGAGATGCACCCTCTGGGTGTGAAGGTCAGTGTGGTGGAGCCCGGCAATTTCATTGCTGCTACCAGTCTCTATAGCCCAGAGCGTATCCAGGCCATTGCCAAGAAGATGTGGGATGATCTTCCTGAGGTCGTCCGCAAAGACTATGGCAAGAAGTATTTCGATGAGAAGATCGCCAAGATGGAGACCTACTGCAACAGCGGCTCCACAGACACGTCCTCTGTCATCAATGCTGTCACACATGCCCTGACAGCCGCCTCCCCCTATACCCGCTACCATCCCATGGACTACTACTGGTGGCTGCGAATGCAGATCATGACCCACTTTCCAGGGGCCATCTCTGACATGATCTACATACACTGAAGAGCTACAGAGGCCTCTGTGACCAGGGGATCTGATGGGAGGGAGAAGGATGAGGGGAGGGAGTTCGGACAGTTACCTTCTGATTACACTTGTGGATTACCCACTGTCTTAGGAAGACCTATTTTAGCATTAACCTTACTTGTGCACGTGGTGAATGGGTCTGGACCTTCACAGATGTGAGGGCACAGGTGTGGCCCTAAGCCTCAGGGCCAACATGGTGCTTCTATCTATCTCAAGCTGATTTTATACAAAGATTTGTGGGAAATATCTTTATATTAAAAATAGATTGTTATAATAGAATCCAAAATCATTTTAAAGCCAAAACATCCATTCAAAATATTTATCCTTAAGCAAGTCTCATGAGCATGAAGGACAGATTTTTTTTTCCTTGTGTGCATGAAGAATTTGCAGAACTTGTGATCTGCATACAAAATGCCCTTTTTGCTGTGCCCAAGTGGTCCTACTGTGCACTGGCATTGCTGTAAAAACTCATCACATTTGTGTTCTGGGGACACTGTGGACCCATCAGTCCTTGACTTCTCTGGCCAGCAGTGTGTCTTCTCCTGAGACAGTCCCACCAGGTGCCCCTGAGTGGTTTCTGCACGACCATGGCACGATGTGACTGGTGGCCAGCAGCCACTGACTCAGCTGGCTGGGGGTGGGGAATCTAGAGATTGGCAGCTGAGAGTTCTCCACCCTCTTCGAAGACGGGTTAGATCTGGGTGGAAGCGCTCTGCATAGGAGTGTGGTTTGGTTTCGCCTTGGACAGGATTGGTGCTCTTTGGGGCTGTAGACAAATGAGTGGTGGTGCCAAGGCTGGGCACTGAGACACTTCCCCAGCAATGGATCACATACACACCTGTTCCATTGGCCTTCAGGATGGTCACACCTCTCCTTCCTACTGTGAACTTCTTAATTAAGCTACTCAGTCTGTTACCAATCAAGGAAGGTTTGACTTTGAAGGCTGCTTGTCCCTGCAGTTGTCCGGGGGCTGTAAAGCCTTGGGCAGCTTTACACATTTAAATAATCATTTGTGCCTTTTGTTGCAAAATCTAGTCCTGCCACTAGAGGGAGCCATGGCTCCTCAGCTAGAGCCTGTTCAGCGTTTTCTTTCAAGCTTGAGGTCTTTCCAAGAGTGTTTGACCACCTACTTGGATGCTGCCTCGGAACAAAGAATGAAGCAAAGCCCCTTTGGAAACAGTGATCCTACACTCCTAAGCAGTTGTCTGGCCTGAACCTGGAGCCCAGTGCCAAGAGAGAGCAAAGGAACTTAGGCAGCTAGAACACACTGGCATGTGCAGCCATACTGAGGCAAAAAGGTTCCACAGAGAGCAGATTCAGCCTGCCTTTTGGGGTTTTGACCTCTCTGGATTCAAACAGAGGTGCTATGTTCCATCCCTGTCTTCAGGCAAGGCAGAAAGGGTCTGGGAGGAAAGGGACGAGGGAGGCAAGGCCTCAGGACCCAGAGAGGGACCCCTGATGGCTTGCACTTAACCTAACAGTGAGATGCTTTTGTACTTCAGGGCCTACCTCCAGCTGGAGCCTTCCCGTGGCATTTTTACATCTTGGGAGAATTTGTTTTCGTGCTTAATAAAGAGGTTGATTGTAACACTTGGAGAGTGGCTTGGAGTTACACTCATGTATCCATCCATCACTGGGAGCTAGAAAGGGATTGGAGGTGACACTGACTTGAGTCCCAAGAAGCAATAAACTGAATGCCAGAGGATGTTCACCGGGGGCTTAAGCTGCGAAAGAGAACTGCCTGGTTAGGCCGTTGTGGCTTGCTTTATTTTACTTATTATACTGACTATCTTGCTGGACCTGATTTTTAACCTTTATTCTAACAACTAAAAAGCCCAAGGTTACGAGGCATGGTGGCACACTCTTTTAATTCCAGCACTTGGTAGGCAGAAGAGGGCTGATCTCTGTGAGTTCAAGTAAGCCTGGACTACACAGTAAGACCCTGTCTCAGAAAAGAAAAACCCAGAGTACTTTCCTTCCAAACAGTCTCAGTGGTAATTCAACCCCCCCGGCTCACCTTCACTTGTTGCAATGACCAGCCTGCTTGGACACAGGAACTGCCTTTGATCTTTACGAGACAGGTGAGGTAGACAGATCACAGGTTGCTCCCATTTTACAGGCCATATAACTGAGGCCCCAAAGAGGAAAGAGACTCACCCAGTATCAGTGGGTGGGAATAGAATGTCCAGCCTCCAGAGTGATGTGAACATGTATTTTGGTGCTTAATCCTCAATCAATGGCATGTTTTTATAATAGCCAGGAGCCTAGCATTCTTTGTCTTACCAATCCCTTCCTGTGGTCTTTAAGGCAGGGAGAGGGTCTAGCAGTGTGTTCTGGCTCCATCTGCCTAAACCTTTGGTTGTGCCTTTGAATCTCAAGCAAGATGAAGGAAAACATTTTGGACAAACCCTTGAGCTGGCAGGTGGCGTTAGGGGTAGGGATGGAGACTCGGGCTGGGCTTAGCCTGCGCCCAGGACTTGAGCTGATGCCTCTGGCCTGCCATAGCTAGCACGAACTCACCTCAAAGGCTGGAAAAGTCATCATGTGCTGAGCTTAACATTCCACCCCAAGGCCAAGCGGCCAGGTGAGCAGGTGACAACACAGCCTGGCCCTGCCTGTCACAAGCTGCTAGGACTGTTGCCCTGCCTGCCCCCTGTGGCAGGGAGCCCTGAGCCTCCCCTTGTGAGGTCTGCTCACTTCCTGTATTCCAGCCCTGCAAATCTGAGCACACCCTCCTTGGACAGGTGAGTAAGCACATTCTCCCAGCTTGGGGAACGAGGTTAACAAGCATATTCCTGTGTACAGTGCCAGACATACTTACCTAGCCAGTTACACCTCCTCTCACCTGACCCTCCCAGCTGCCCTGGCAGGTAGCCAGGGGTGGGGGTCAAGATCTCATTTTACAGATAAGGTAACAGGCTTTCCCAAGTCCCTGATCACAGGAGGGACAGAGCGGACTGGCCAACTCTGAGCTCACCTCTAGCCCAGAGCCAGCCATGCATGAAAAGCAGGGCAGATGGTACCGGGATCTAAAATAAGGAGGAGAAGAAAAAAAACTTCGATTATGTAACAGTGAGAGGAATCTTTAAGCTCATGCACAGGGCATGGCCACACAAACCAGCTTCCCCCACCACCTCCTTGGCATTCTGAGCATGGCTCCCTGGGAGCCTGTGCTGGAGGAATCCTCCAGCCACCTTGTTGCAAGCAGCATGCTTTTACAGAGCTCATACTGTGACCAGTGGGCATTTCAGAGGACAGATTCTAGAAACACGAGCCCACACCCCCAGGGACTTGAGAGGCACAGGAATAGAGCTCAGCAAGATAAGATCAGTTTTGCTTAGAGAGCTCAGACAAAGAGGAACTGAGGCACTGGAACTCTGGCGGAGATCACCTAGCCAAACTCAGGTGTAAACAGCCTTTCTGGTATGCGCAGTCAGTCATTAAAGGAAGGTAATTCATGAGCCATAGCTTCAGAGGCACAGAGTGAGCATTTGTGCACGGGGACCAAGGACCATAGTTTGGACAAGGGCTAAAAGAGGCTACCTCAGAGCGTGAACCCTGACAGTGACAGGGGTTCATTACCCAGGGAAGTTTTTCCTTGGGTCAAAGAGATTTATACAAAGCTGTAGCCAACCCTGCCTCCTCTGCCTAACCTCTGGCACCTGGTTCTGACCTAGACGACTACAGAACAATTTAGATCTCAGTCCTCTTAATATTTGGAAGTAGCTAAATCAAGTTCAAGAGCCCAGGTCCCGAATTTGACAAGTCTTCTAGACACTTCGATATCTGAATGGGAGCTTTCAGCCATGACTACACAGTCCCTCAAGTACCCAGATGACACCTTCCAGGCTAGAGGGCCACCCGAGTTCCTTTCAGGCAGCCAAGACCTGGTCAGCCCTGGAGAGGAGCTAACAACTGTCGCTCACACACGTGCCCTCACTGTCGCCTCTCATCTCCACCCACAGTGAGCACCTTATTAACGATGGGGGAACATTATGCCCATTTTGTAGATAAGAAACCAGAGCCTCAGGGAGGTGGTGTGGTTTATGGGAGATCATAGCCAGAAAGAGTGCCAAGGCAAACCCAGCATTCTAGTTTCTGTCTTCAGGACTCCTTCCTATTTCCTGGTCTCCATCGGGACCCTAGACCTGGGCTAGACTTAACTCAGTGACGGCAGTGGACAAGGTGGTAGCATGAAGGCCAGCCTCTTCCCAGCCCACAGTTTGTAGAGGGCAGAGCAGAAGAAAGGTCAATCTTCTCTGTCTTGTGTCACATACATCCGCCATGTCTAAGGTATTGTCGATGTGAGGGGGCAGAGAGCAAGGACAGGAAAGATTCTAAGGCAGGGCTCCAGACCATTCTGTTTTCACATTCTTGGACCTGTGTCAGAAGGGAGAGTAGAGGAGGGAAGGATGGCAGGAGGAAGAGAGAGATGTAAATGAGGATTCCGGAGATGCTGCTGCCCAGGAAATCTGTGCTGCTCTCACAGAGACTTAGTTACTCTCTCTCATGTCAGGCTAGTCTCGCTTATCAAATTAGTGGTGAACTTAATTACAATTCTTGGAGTAACCGCACTGAACTCAGAAATGTAGCAGGCTGGCTGTCTTCCGCGGCTTCAGCAGTGGCCATCATGTCAGGGCTGGTTGGCTCTGCAGCTGCCTCTTTCCTCCTTTTGTTGTGTTCTGCCAAAAAGTTTGGGTTTAGAATATCTGGCTGAAGTTGTGCCAAAGTGTGCAGGACCCATCATAAGAAACAAAGGCACACCTACTGCCATATCACCCTGAACGTGCCCGATCTCACCCGACCTCAGAAGCTAAGCAGAATGAGACCTTGTTAGCCCTGGGAGGAAAAACAAAAATGGAAGCCAGGCTCTGTGCTGTGTATCTGCCATCCCAGCAGAAAGGTGATCAGGCCAGCCTGGGCTACAAAGCAAGACCCCCACGGGAAGCAAAGCCAAGCCAAGAGTAAGCATGACACTAAATGAGAAAACACAAGATTTATGGCGATTCAAGGGTATCTTCAGGAAAAGAGGGTAAAGGCCAGGCTCCACACGGGCTCTTCTTCAATACCCAGGGTGAAGTGGGTAGAAGCAAGAGCTACTTGTCATTAGACTGAAGATCTAGGGTGAGATGATATTCCCAGCCTAAGGAGTTCTTAGCCACACGGGCTGCCGTGGTGGGGGGATGGGGTGGACAGACTGCACTATTTTTGGAACTACTGGATGTTCAGGACACGCTGGTGCCACAAGACAACCAAGTGTGTGTGTGAAAGTACCTGGGAAGGGGAAGGCACATCAGGCTGCAGGTGTTCCCTGTGGGAGCTGGGTTTCCAAAGCCCCGGCCGGACAATTTTAGAGGGTTCCTCCATGGTCGTTATGGTGGGAAGCTGACAGGCACAGCGCTGGAGTAGTAGCCGAGAGCCTTATGTCCTGACCTGATGGCATCGGGCAGACAGGGAGACACCGGGCCTGGTGTGGGCTTTTGAAATGTCAGAGCCCACCACCAGTGACACACCTGCAACAAGGACAGACCTCCTAACCCTTCCCAAACAGTTCCACTAACTGGGGACCAAGCATTCATATCTCTCAGCCTATGGGAGCGATTCTCACTCAAGCTTTCACATCTCTGAACAGAAGGATGGAGGTACCTTGTTCTATGCCCCCTGGGTTTGAAAGTAAGGGCTCTTTGAGAACCACAACTGACTCCCCCCAAAAAAATTCTGCATGTTTTCTATGTGAAAAACCTTCCTGGGTCAAAACAGTAGCAACTTCAACACAAACAAGGAGGTCAGGGGATCAGGGGCATAGAGTATTTTGCTCCTTAGGGCCAGGGTGGTATGGTGCCACCCTCTGCCCTGTGTCCTGGCCCAAAGTTCACCCACCCAGTGGCTCTACAGCAGCTGGACCCCATGGAACTAAATGCTAGAAGGAGCCATGGGGGCCTACAGAAGCCTGCCTTGGGGGACTGCCCGGTCCCTCTATGCCTCCCAACCCCCTCCCTGTCACCCTACAGGTTGCAGGGAACCAGGCAAACTTGTCCTTTCGGCTTGTCCTGTGCTTGGTTGCTGAGGTGACTGCCTCACAAAAGGCAGGGTTCCTATTGCTGCAGTGCAACACTGTGGACCAAAAAAGCAAGCTTGGGAGGAAAGGGTGTATTTGACTTACACGTCCACATTGTAGTTTATCACTGAGGGATGTCAGGGCAGAAACTCAGACAGGACAGGATCCTGAAGGCCATGGAGAGGTGCTGCTTACTGGCTTGCCCATCATGGTTTGCTCAGCCTGCTTTCTTACGGAATCCAGGACCACGAGCCCTGGGGTGGCCCCACCCACAATAGGCTGGGCCCTTCCACATCAGTCACTAATTTAGAAAATGTCCCACAGGCTTGCCTACAGCCCCATTTTACAGAGGCGTTTTCTTAACTGAGGTCCCCTCCTCTCAGATGGCTTTAGCTTGTGTGATATAAAACTAGCCAGAGCTGTGATGGAGCAAAAGATAAAGCCTTGGGTGCATCCCGACTCTGTATTCAGGTACCTGGCAGAAAGCTCACTCAATAAAAAAGGAAGGAAGGAAGGGACAGAGAACAGAGAAGGGAGA